CTGCGCCTGCGCTCTTCACACGCCTCCTGCAGGGCACATTTGGTAAAGTTCGTGCATGCAGGCTGCCGCCAAGCACAGGGAGTAGCACAGCTAAGGAAAAGGGCAAAAAAAAAATGGCGGACGGAGTGGTTTGGCGACCCCCGTGAAATGGTCGTGCGACCCCAAATGGGGTCGCGACCCACAGGTTGAGAACCGCTGACTTAGACTTATATACTGCTTCACAGTGCTTTACAATCCTCTCTAAGCGGTTTACAGAGTCAGCCTATTGCCCCCAACAATCTGGGTCCTCATTTTACTGACCTCGGAAGGATGGAAGGCTGAGTCAACCTTGAACAGGTGAGACTCGAACCGCTGAACTGCTGGCAGCCGGCAGTCAGCAGAAGTAGTCTGCAGTACTGCATTCTAACCACTGGCCACCAGCGCTCTAATAAGCTAATTTATTTAGCTGGCACTCATACACAGTTGTTAAATTTGTATTAACTCTGAAAATATTGGCCCATGAAGTTGAGATACCAGAGAAGTTAAGGAAAGGTAAATGATATAAACAATATCACATTTTTTCTTATTTTCCTCCCTTTCTCATTCTAAGTAATGTAAGATCTGATTAAATAGTTTAGATCAGTGGTGGCGAACCTATGGCACAGGTGCCAGAGGCGGCACTCAGAGCCCTCTCTGTGGGCACGTGTGCCGTTGCCCCAGTCCTAGGCCTTCAGCTGGGTTTTATAAAACCTTTTCGCTTTAGGCCTCCGCCGCCATGTACAAAAAAAAAAAAGATTAAATCAGTCAATTTCAACTTCTCGTGGGAAAAAAAAAGATCTTTCAAAGTTGGAATTGATTGATTTAACTTTTTAGTCCCACCCAATCTGCCGTTACCACCGCAGCCACGCCCACCCAATGGGCTACACCCATCCAATGGGCCACACCCACCCGGCACCCGATGATGCATAAGTGGGTTTTGGGTTGCAGTTTGGGCACTCGGTCTCTAAAAGGTTCGCCATCACTGGTTTAGATAAAGGTTATAGCCATGAGCTTGTATTACCTTTTAATATCTTTTTCATCTTTATTGTATTAAATGATGTAAAACTATAGCAAACATCTTTAGAAGTAGATTAATACTACACTATTCTATGTATGGCTCCAACATTCATGCAATTAATATTGATCTCATAGTTTCTAATTTGATTTTAACATTACTTTGGTGGCACAGTGGTTAGAATGCAGTACTGCAGGTTACTTCTGCTGACTGCCGGCTGCCAGCAGTTCAGCAGTTCAAGTCTCACCGGCTCAAGGTTGACTCAGCTTTCCATCCTTCCGAGGTCAGTAAAATGAGGACCCAGATTGTTAGGGACAATATGCTGACTCTGTAAACCGCTAAGAGAAGGGTGTACAGCATTGTGAAACAGTATATAAGTCTAAATGCTATTGCTATTATTTATTTATTTATTGAAATAATCTTAAAGACCATAGTAAAAATTTAATCGAAACAAAAAAGTCAATAAACAAAATTATATATTTCCCAGTCATTCTTTTTGGGGGATATTAGAAGCAACTTTGCTATTCCCCATGAAAACCGCCGGATCATTTTAGGGCAGTTAACAGTTCTCATGCTAGCTCACTTCAATTGAGTTAATGGGGAGAAAAAAAATGAAGCCTGTGGAAAAGAGGAGGGAGGGAGAGAGAGAAAGAAAGGGAGAGAGATACAAAGGATTCTTCCACTTTTGATGTGTCTTTTGAAGTAAGAACAGTTTTAGCCTACCTGTATGTTTGGATTCTGGGCATTCAGATCCACATTGGCTAAGCCTGTCAGGCTTTGTAAGTCCAGTACAAAAGGTGTTTTCTCTTCTGGGAGTATTTCCGTAGGTTGGAGTGATGCCAACTGGTTCCTTGAAGCCTGTTGCAATGGCCAATGGTGTTTGTGTTCATCTGGTATCACCTGTCCATTCAGCCTCAAGTTCTGCATCCTGTGTGACTGTGGTATTTCTTCTTTGAATGAAGGAACATCGGGTGATGTGGCAATCTGAAATGAAAGTTAGTTGTAGTCCTACTGCCTGATGAAGATCCAGCTTTCACTTATCCCAGCAGACATGTTAGACTACAACTCCTATGATGCTCAAGCCCTTTCCTTGCATATAAGACAAGATAGAGCAGGCTCTGATGATGGTCACTCAAGAACTATATTCTCTAGGCTTTACTGTTGGAAAAGCCTTGTCCTATAATGTCGCCAATTGCACATTCAGACCACGATGAAATTAGGAGCATGTTTTTTTGCAGAAAATTTAAGCAAACAAATTGACTCACTAGTTACTTAAAAATTATAATCATGAGTAGCAATCACATCCCAACTGTCAGTTTCCTGATTACCAGTAGTCCCTCATTAAAATAACACAAAATGTTTAAAAGTGTCAGAGAAATTTCAAAGAAACCAGGGCAATGAAAATAACTTAATTCTGGGCTCCTGATTATATTGTTTCAAACAGTTAATGCACTTCTTTCCATACTTTATATTCTGCAGCATTATACAAGATGGAATTCAACTCACTGGAGTATTTTTTTTCCAGTTCTATGATTACAAATGAAAAAATATGGGCGTTGGCTGTGAATTGGAAAATTAATTAATATAAACACTCCAAAGAACATAGTATGGGAATGATTTACATGCAAGCTAACATGCACTGTAGTGATTTTTACCAATGATCTTTTTGAACCAAAGTCTGGAATCTTCCACATGTGTTAGACTATACCTTCTGAAGCACCATTGCCACAATGTGGAAAGCCTGTCCCAAACTTTCTTTGAAAGACTACTTCTGCAGGCCCACCATAACTTACTGCAAGGAGCTATTTCCCAACGTTCAACTTGCGTTCCCCAAGTCTTGTTCTCTGTAGGCTACTTCCTTTCACTGCAGGAGCCCAGAATTTAGCTGCAGGATTAGAGAAACTGGGGATGCTCCCCCTTCCTCCATATGGGATACCAAGAGGCTCTATTACCTGCAATTAGGGCTTGATGGCTTTTGAAAGACTCTTCCCCCTCCACTACTTTCATCTTGATCACTGGAGCACTTCAAAGGA